GGCTGGCATATGAAGTCATTCCTGAAGTGCCACTGCCTGTGACACGAGGGATGGTTCCAACATCTTTGCTTGCCTTTGGGACTTTTTTGTAACAGGTGCAGGAGATGAACTTCTCTTGCAGCCTTCCTGGTGAGTATGAGAACAACCCGCCACCAGTCCTGGATGCCAGATCACAGATGAAGGTGGCTTCTCTCATACTAGCAGGACTCGTGGCATTCTTGTGAATGAGCTGCAGGGACCTGCTCTTCTGCAGAAGGAAATGCTGAATGCTCTGATTTACTGTCACCATGGGACTGGGAACATAAAAGGTTTGACTTTCCCAGCAGTTCTGTCTTGGCACATGTACTCCACAGCATCCTCCACACTGAGAACCACCCTAAATTGCAAGGCAAAATGCTACGGATGGGACTGGAAATCTGCTCTGTCTCTAGAGTAATTTATGTGCCCCAAACCCTGCAGTGACCTGACTAATTAAAACAATGGGTGAGAATTAGCTCCAGCTCAAATCACATCTCCCATGGGAGGAAGCACAGACACTGCTGAGGCAGGTTGGTTGGGGTGGGGTGGTGGGAGTCACAGTGCAGGCTATGGTATTGAGTGTGTAGCAGGAAGCCAATATCAGCCTGCAGGACCATCACTCCTCACATCCTCCACAGTTCCCCACCCCAGAGAGGGGCAGATGTCCTCCTGGTCTCTAGAACCAGCCAAGTCAAGTCAAATGATTGAGGGCAGGCTTAGATAATGGTACACAGAAATGATTCACAGTTCAGTTGTTTAAAAGGTTGAAGTAAAAGGGGCAAGCATGTAGCATTCCAAAGGGCAGATAATAGCACTCCTCAATAGGTCCTGCGGTTGGTTAAATACATTATTTATCTCGTCTTCAGTTTCTGTTAGTTGCTGGAGTTATGTGACTTACTTAAAAAAATAATATCCACAAAGCACTTACAACTATTTTTGTCACTTGGTGGTTTTTTTGACAAATACCTAGAAATAAGGCTTTTGTCTGGAAAAAGGGGGTGGAAGCAGAGATTCATTAGTTTAAGTTTTCCCTTAAAAATATCTTGCACCAGATGCAGGAAAGGAAGGAAAACTGCCTAGAGTTTGTAGCTGTGAATAATTTCCATAACTACAGAAGAAATCCAGAAACAAGCGTATGGGCCTCAGCAGACTGAAACCCACTTACCAGTCTTTCATCACAACTTCTGCACATCTTGGATGTGAGAAGCAACATTCATTATTTGAATGTTGTGCAGCATTTTACAGACTTAAGGGCTTATTTCCCCCTGTCCTTCCTGAGAGTCTTCTGAGTTACAATAATGGCTTATTATTTGGGCAGAGAAGCATTCCTGAAAAGTGTTTTATTTGCTTTTGCTCATGAATCACTGATGGAAACGAACAGCTGGCAAATTAAATCACTCTGGTACTCAGGGGCCAGGGGGAGAGGAAGATGCCTTCAACTTCAAGAACTGTTTACATTTCTTTAGAAAAAGAGTGGGTTTTCTCTCTTCTGTTATATACCAACCTTGGTTCAACCTTCGTCAACCACATTTGTTCTTCAGGATTCGTGTGCATGGAACAAAAGGACGATAGAAAATCCAAATGGCAAGGGGCTGCAACTAGATTATCTTAAGGTTCTTTCAAACCCTAACTATTCTATGATTCTATTATTCTATGATTTGGTGTCCTGGGTTCAACAATAGCAATCATTTTTCTCTTTCTTAGTAGCTGGTGCAGTGCTGTGTTTTTGACTTGCAGCCTGGAAACAATGCTGATAACACCGATGTTTTTAGTTGCTGCTCAGTAATGTTTACTCTGATCAAGGACGTTCTGAGTCTTGTGCTCTGCCAGGGAGGAGGGGAATCTGTGAGGAAGCAGCGACAGGACACCTGACACAAACTGACCAAAGAGGTATTCCATACCACAGCACATCATGCCCACTATATAAACTGGGGGCAGTTACCCGGAAGGGTTAGATCACTGCTCAGGTCGGGCTGGGTATCGGTCGGCAAGTGGTGAGCAGTTGTATTCTATTCCCTTGTTATTTCCCTTATCATTATTATTATTGGTGGTAGCAGTGGTTTGTGTTATACCTTAGTTATTGGACTGTTCTTACCTCAACCCATGTGAGCTACATTCTTTTGATTCTCCTTCCCATCCCTCTGGGAGCTGGGGGGAGGAAGGGGAGGAGAGTGAGAGAGCGGCTCTGTGGTTCTGAGTTACCAGCTGGGCTTAAACCATGACATTTGGTTACAATATATTTTTGTCTTCTTAATTGTTTAAACATGGCTCCATACTGTAGCATGGACTAGAGCTCACCTGGTTGTAGCTTTGAGGCTACAACTGGAGGTCTTTGTTACAGTAAAACACTGAACTTACTTAGGCTTTATTCATAGTATGGAGATAGCAGCTGCATTAACATACATAGGTGTCCTTGTTAAAAAAAAAAAACAACACAGAAAAACAGGTTTGATTCATATGCCAGGTGCTGTGTAATTTTTTGGTGTCACAGGCCTACTGCATGGGCATTTCTTTTGGCTCTGACAGTATTTGATGCTGCTGGCATATTTTAGCAGCTGTTATCAGTAGGAGTGAGCTCCTGATGGTCCACAAAGTAGCAATAGTGAGACACTGAACTCACAGCCTGAAGGCAAAGCTTTATGAAAACCTTTTTCAAAACTTTTTCTTTTCCTCAGTACTGCTGAAAATCAATAAATTACTCCTTATTAGCAGATATTAAGAACTGTTACAAAGGATACAATAATCTGATAATACTGACAAGTATCTTGTTGATCTATTAAATAGCTCTGAAGTTGGTCTCATTTATAACAGTGCAGATTGGATGCAAACTGGGCAAACTGCGTTGTGAAAAAGGATTTAACTCTTTGAAGTGGGGTAATGGGTTCAAACTTAAACAGGGGAAGTTTAGATTGGATATAAGGAGGAAATTCTTTCCTGTTAGGGTGGTGAGGCACTGGAATGGGTTGCCCAGGGAGGTTGTGAATGCTCCATCCCTGGCAGTGTTGGATGAGGCCTTGGGTGATATGGTTTAGAGCAAGGTGTCCTGCCCATGGTAGGGGGGTTGGAACTTGATGATCTTAAGGTCCTTTCCAACCCTAACTATTCTATGATTCTATGATTCTAAGTGTCTCTTCTCCCCACTCCCAAACATGACCAAAGGATTTTAATAATCCCAAATTCACTGCTGTTAATGACAGATCAGATTTGGAAAAATTATTAAAGTTGGGGTGCTTTTCAATTTTAACTCTTGCTTTTATAGCAAGTACATATTTCTGATAGTGAGATTTAGCCCTTCTGCTATAAAGTAAGACATTATGGGAAAGAAAGAGGAAAAGGAAAAAAGAAAGAAAGAAAAAAGATTTCCTGAACTCCTTGTAGTATTCCCAGAGGACACCTCAGCATCAACTGGAAAGTTTCACAAGCTGTCTGTGAACATCAGAGAGTAAAGACTCATTTGGGCTGTGGCTTTGGTGAGTCAATCTGCTCACACTTCATCAGGAGTGTCAGGGGATCCTGATAAAATGACAATGATGCTGTGCACTGGGTAGAGGAGAACATAAATAAGCTACCTAATTCCATTTCTTTTAGCATTTCTTTATATCCATATGCTCAAATCATATCACACCAGCCAGCCTTTGTACTCAGAGAATTCCTCTGAATTGGATTAGGTAATATATTGAAAGCCGTATTTCTTGTAGTGATTTTGAGTTTTGTGAGTGTGTGTGCATTATATCCCTGTAACTGTGTTTGCATGTGCAGAAAACATTTAAAAGCTGATTCTCACAGTCATTTTGCTAGAAATCAAGGTCATCCCCTGCAAGTCATTTGCTATAAAACCTTGTGACAAATAGATTAATTTATGTGTAAAAATACAAGAGTATTATGGAAGAGACATTAGTTACCCTTTTATTTTAACACAACAGAGTAAACAGCCAGCAGGCAGAGCACTGCTTTCCCTGATGAGAGATCCATGCTAAATCAAGGATTTAATTAAACTTTGGATATCTCTCCTTTCCCACTGGAAAAGATGCTACTGACAGCCACTAGGCCCTGTGCTGCTCTGAGCTGCTGAGCAGAGGGCGGCACAGGAAGCACGGCATACCTCTGAGCACAGATTAGAACACTGATGAACCTTGCTCCAGTTTCAGATACAGGTATCCTATTTTATTTGGCTTGCCTAGATGAAGAACATCAACAGTAAAAAAACTAACTAACTTCTAGAACAATATCCCAGGGAAAGAGTAGGTCCTTCAGCACCATAAGCTGTGCTCCTCTTACTCTGCATAGCACAGCAAATGTAGTGCCCATACTTGTTACACTGCATATAAGAGCTCTTCATGGAAGGCCTGTTTGTCTGAAATACCTTTAAAATACCTGGTGGTTTTCATGTTCTTCCAGTACACACTGGTCAGTTAATAATAGTCATTTTGAATTCCTTCTCTTTACTGCTGGCCATGAGAATACTTGCATACAGACATGTACAATACTGCATGCCCAAATGGCTTATACACTAGACAAGCATTTGCAGACCTAATACCCTGGACACCACTTACTGTTGTCATTTATTTATCACAAGTTTTTGCACATATTATTTCATAAATGTATTTTACACAACTGCCTGCTCCACAGCTTTGGCTCATGCTCTTCCTACATCGTGGTGAGCAGCTTTTTCCTCCCTTGCAGTGCCTGCCCAAGAAGGGCAGTCATTGACAGAAAACCAGGGTCAGGCATATTGCCCTTGGTCCATGTACTTGGAGCTGGCACTGACCTTATAAAAACAGAGGAAATAAATATAAATAAACAGGAAGATTTTTTTTTTGTCACCCCCTCAGGCTCTTTGATAACTGTACAGTTGCTAGATCTGATGCGAAGGGGGAGTTCAGAAAATGCAGTTGGGGGTTCCAGAGAAAATGGGGCCATCCCATTTGGGTAGCAGCCCACTGTTAGATCAAATTATGCTGATCATGAAACCATATCCGTAGACAGGAACCCACAGCTGCAATTGCAGAGAGAGTCCTTGAGCATGCGCGAAGCAACTGGAATATTCTGGAAATGCAACTGGGAAAATTCAGGAGTTCACAGCTGAGCATGTGCAAAGCGCAGCAAGTCAAAGGTCTGCAAGTTGGCATCACTTGGGGAGCTTTTTGTGTGGATGCCAAAAGGCAGCACACTGCTGCGACAACAAATCTTATCTCTATCAACTTCAAACCCTTGTTCCAAAGCAGGGGATAATATATTGGTCAAAGAGAAGGCCATGAAGGTATATTTTGCCTGAATAGCTGGAGGAAAACTGAATTGTTTTTACTACCACTTCCCTAGAACACTCATTCTGATATTAGGTCTTACATGGAAAATTTTATCTGGAACAATTCAGTTTAGGCAACAGAAAATTGTATGACTGCAGAGAGAAGTGATGGCTGATCTACCTGCTTTCACGTTTCAGATGCTGTCTGCTCAGGTCTGCAGCAGTTTTTGGTTACCCTTGGCTTTGCACCCACCTGCTTGAGCTGCTATTCAGCATCAGCTTCCAGAGACGGTTGCTTACGCAATGTCCTGTGGGCCAAAAACCTCAGCAAGGGCAGCATGTTTTCCTGGCAAGTCATATCCTCCCCCTTCAGGTGATGAACCTGAAGGTCTCACAGTAAGTCAGCTTTTGTCAGGCTTTACATTTGTAGCAACTGAATTTTTCTTTATCCTTCTCCTGAGTTCATTATGCCATGCTTCTCCATTCCTCATCCTCTAAAGCACTGATCTAATAGTATTTTATCATGACCAGGGTCACTGAGTCCAATCGTTAATCGAGCACTGCCAAGTCCACCACTAAACTATGTTCCTAAGCACCACATCTACACATCTTTTAAAAACCTCTAGGGATGGTGACTCCACACTTCCCTGGGCAGCCTGTTCCAATGCCTGACAACCCCTTCAGTGAAGAAATTTTTCCTAATACCCAACCTAAAACTCCCGTGGTGCAGCTTGAGGCCGTTACCTCTTGTTTTATTCACATTCTTGTCCTATTCTGATTTCTTGTTACCTGGGAGAAGAGAACAACCCCCACATCCCTCCATCCTCCTTTCAGGTAGCTGTAGAGAGCTATAAGCCCCCCCCCCCCCCCAAGCCCCCTTTTTTCCAGACTAAACAAGCCCATTTCCCTCAGTCACTCCTCATTAAACTTGTGCTCCAGACCCTTCACCAGCCTTGTTGCACTTGTCTGAAGCCACTCCAGAACCTCAATATCTTTCTTGTTGTACGGAGCCCAAAACTGAACGTGGTATTTGAGGTGCAGCTTACCAGTACCGAGTACAGGGGGACAATCACTCCCCTAGTGCTGCTCGCTATGTTATTTCTGATAGAGGCCAGGATGCTGTTGGCCTTTTTGGCTGCCTGGGCACAGGCTGCTCATGTTCAGCCATCAGTCAGCACCCCCAGGTCCTTTTCCACTGGGCAGCTTTCCAGCCACTCTTCCCCAGTCCTGTAGCATTGCATGGAGCTGTTGTGACCAAAGCACAGTACTCAACTTAGCCTTGTTGAACCAAGTATGCCTTTTAACAAAGTTAAAATTGTCTTAACGGGAATAAAATGCTCCCCACAGAACTATAAATTGACTTTTTAAAACACAGGGATACTCTGGAAGGATTTACTCATTTTCATTGAAATAGTAATATGGAGCCTACTGCCTTGCTCTCCCTCACAGGATATGATCAGTTTCCCATGAGATTCTTTATCTCATTAATACCCTGCAGCTACAGCTGTTCATTTTATGCTCCTCATATACATCCCACAGACTAGGACATACAAAATAACTACTGAGGCCACCCCTTGAGTATGAACAGACTGAAATGGACGCCCTGCTCAGTTGGAGGAAAGAGGACAGAGTGGACTTCACCACTTTTCCACGGGAAGTTTAATAGGTACTGTCCACAGCTGACCAAGAAGGCATGGCAGGACCAAAGCAGTGAGAGAGATCCTGATCCCCACCTCCTCTCTCCCTCATTATTATAGTTCTTGCCTCAACTCACACTCCTAGACCTACGTGACTCAAATATTTCAGTGTGTAATAGCATAAAGACAGTTCTGATTTGTGGGGTTTTTGTCTTCCAGTCTGAACTGAGAAATGTAAAAGGGGATTCAGGAGAGGAAATCCAGAAACAATGTGATGAGCCCTTACCAAATGCCTGACTGTCCTGCTCTCACTTACAGTAGGATCCCTTTACACTATCGTGCATGTAGAGTGAATGCAGTTGTGCAGAGAAGAGACATCTCATGGAAACTGAATTCATGTGATTGCTTGTTATATTTTCACTGAAACATGGTTAGATCACATTTTAGCCCAGACTTCTATATGGCTATTCAAGTAAGTACTATGAAACAAATATAAATGAGTAGGAGTTTACCATCTCATGCCTTAACCGGTTCAAGGAAACCAAAAAGAAAGCAATGGCATTTTTTTAAAAGCCATTTTTTCAAAAGCCATTTTTTCACTGTATCAAAGAGCTCTGGTTTTGGGTTGTCACAGAACTCTGGGGCAGCAGGCTGCATGATACAAATCTAGATGAAAAAAATACACGGGCAGGGGGATAGAGGAATTAAATGCATTGCAAGAACATTGTGAACGACTGCTATTTCTACAGAGAACATGGCAGGTGAATTTACCTTAATTAATTGTAGAGTAAAAATGGAGTGAGCCAGCATCAGCACTTGCAAAGTTCTTAAACACAGAATTAAATTTCTTTTGGAACACAAAACCACCTGAATTTCAGTGTTTATTCTGCTGTTGCAATGATGAAAGACTATAAGCATGCAGACTTCAAGTTGTCTGTAGGTACTTCTGTGGTTTGAACAACCTGGTGCTGAGTATATCAAAATCCCCATGGAGGTCTATAATCATCCTTCTACATACTTCATGTCTAGTATCTGTAGTACTTGGCAAATTTAGCACTGGTATATCCCTAGCATGCAGGCTGAGGTTTCAAATTACTGATGAGGCCTTTTGCTTCTTTAAACGTGGTACTAAGAGTACCTTAGAGTTCTGAGCAATATCACCCTTTTTTAGATCTGTTCATTCATCATAATACTGTGCCAAGGTTTGTTAGGTAAACTTGATTGACAGACACCCATCTTTATCCTCTGCATGTCTAGAGGTCAGCACTGGTGGAAAGTAATGCTTTTTTAATTAGCTGCTAAGGTATTAAATTTCCTTTGTGTGGATTGCATGTTGCATTCCTGTGAGTCACTATCTGAAGAGACTGTCTTTTCATTCACTATTCAGTATTCAGTGGAGAAGAGTCATAAAAGATTCATATCAAAGATGTTTATGAAAAGTCTTGGATCTAGACAACCTCCAAGTTTTCCAGCAGTAACTGTAAGACAAGGAAAACAGCAGCTTTAAAATGGCAGACTCCAATTCAAAGATGCACTTTACACTCTGCAGCAGGAATCACAAAGCCAAAATACTGGCTATAAATTGCAGATGCCATCTCAGGTTCTTCATAGATACCGATTCCACAGCTAGAAATACAAGCTTTAGAAAAATTGTGCTCAGAAAGGTACAACAAATTAAGTGTTCAAGATGACAGTGATCTGCTATTCTACTCAAACTGGATTTTTATTTATCTAATATCACCCAGTGCATAAACATGTTGTGGCAGGTATTCTAAAAACTACCAGCAAACCTCTAGCATGGCAGGGGTATTTGAGGAAAACACAATACATGTGAAAATTTATACAGGTCTGTTTCTGATAAGCTTACAGTAGACTAGAGATGAAGGGGAACTGCAGAAGAAATGGAACAGCAGGGTATCCATGTAGATTCCACATAGATGGGCAACATGTTCTTAAAACTTACTGTCATTTATCATATCAATACTGAAGTTTTTTTGCATTTGTACTTTGCAAAGTAAAAAATAATAAAGTGCTGCTACCAGGACTAAGCTAGCTTTATGATAAAACTTCATGTGAGACTCTGAGACTCCAAAATTCAAGGACTTCCTTAGTAGTAGTCAGCCAACTGCAGCTTAAGGGGCAATAGCAGGGTCACTAGTGGCAGCTAGCACTGAAGATACTCCTCAAAATGGGGTTTATTAGAACCACACATACTTAACGTATGAATGTCACAGTGAATTTTTGGAAAAATGTCCCCTTTCTTTTTTTGTTGGGAGTTCCACCTATAAAATGTTATCATAACTAAGTACTTGCTCCAGCAACTAATTCAATAAAGCTATAACTTAGGCAGGGACTCATTTACACTTAGATTATCCCTGCTACTCAGAAAAAGTTGAACAAAATGCAGCCATACATTCTGTGGATATAAACAGTGAGATCTGGCCTCAGTCCAGATGGTGTTATATCCCATAGTATGTAGAATTATGTGCATATGTTATGTGTAAACATTCATAAATATACTTCAGCTTTCCCTTCAATAAGCTGGCTCTGTAAGTATTTTCACTTGAACTGGGGAATTGCTACTTAGAATAACACTTCCTAAGATAATGTCCCAGTGAGACAGAGAGGCATAGGCTCATGATAAATCTTGCTTGCACACAAATTAGTCTGTCTGTGAGGGAAAGGGCACTGCAGACAGGACTGGAAACACTCTAATCTCCAGCTAGCTCCAGGTGGTCTTAGCCAACTCATTAGCTACGGTGAAGAAAACTAAACAAAAATGCGTAATAATGGCCGGGATAATCAAATAACATTGCAAATAGGTTATTTTGAATCAAACCTACAGGCTGCTCAGAGAAGCTTGTAAATGACTCTCTGTTTCCCTAAGCATTTTCTGTGTGAATAATCTCATATGTTATGTGTCATGTGTGAAAACTTCCATAAAATATTCTAAAGTTTCTCTGAAGTTGAATGTTTTGCCTCGGTTTTTTCTTTCTTTTCACACATGCACAGAGTCATAACGCTTATTAGTAGAATCTATGTGCAAAAGTCTACGTAAGTTTAAGAAGTTACTTTTGTTTGCATGTTTATAAGATGTATAAGATGATGAGAGAAGAATATATGGAAGGGGAAACACTTTATTAGAGATAGTTCAATTGGTAAAACATAGAGATGATAGTTTTCAAAACAAGAATTATGAAAATATTTATGCAAAAGGAGAAAACCAGACTGAAGCCTCAGCTTCTCTGTTGTTTTTATAGGACATTTAGAATTTTAAATTTCTTTGCAATGGTTTCAGAAGTTCATTTCATTAGTTTTTCTACTACTTGCTTTTCCTAACCTGCCTGCTTTTGGATAGCATGCAACATCTGTGATACCAGATGGTTTCTGGAACCTTGGTTATTCTCAGCATGTGTTTACAGTACACAAAATGTGGTGTCTGTGTTTCCAAATACATATACACTTTTTGTTCAAAGATGAAGATAGACTCTGAGATTGAAGGCAGCATGTCAGTGATAGGGCAGGATATTTGCTGGATTTTTTTACCTGTTCTTTCTGTAGTGATTCTAATTTGGGAAAGGAGAAAAACAAAAATTGTCTTTTCTATCACGTTTAACTGTCCTGTGGAAAACACAGGAGTCTCACTCAAGGTTTATAAACAAATATGCCATTATGTTTCTCATTAGGCTGAAGAATACCTGGATAAGTGGTAGCTGTCAGATACAATAAGTGCCCCCCTCCTCTTTTGCTTATATAATAATCCCAGCATTCAAAAGACTAATCACTACACACTGATCTACAAAGCATCTTATTTCCT